GCGGCGGAAATCGACGGCGCGAAGAGCCTGCAGATCCGAGAGGACACGGCGAAAACCGGGGGCCGAAAGTTTGGCGTGCACTGCGCGCATGAGGGCGCGACGGTGCAAGACAGCGAAGCTGACGGCCGCAAAGGAGTGGTCAAGACGCCAAGGGAAGGAGGCACTGGAACGATCGGCGCGAAGGAGGAGCGAGCGGAACCAAAGCCGATCCTGAATCCGAACGATGCGCGGCGAGCGCTCTGTGGCTTCTCCAAAAGGAAAAAGATGAGGAAAACATAAGGTCCAATAACTTTCGTCAAAGGTGCTGAGAGGAGATGAGCCGTGGGGCACCACGAAGCAAGTGGTGGCAGGTGCTGCAGCTGCAGCAGGAAGAGCGTCAACCGCAGGAACGGGAGCGTCGAGGAGCGCGCCAGCAGCAAGGGCAACCCGATCGGCTGAGGCGGCAGCAAGTACAGCGTCGGCGGGAGCGGTCGATAAAGTTTGACAGGCGTCGTCGACAGCGAGCAAACATCGTTGCCACAGGGCCAGTGGATGCGTAGCTTCACCCTCGACATCCAGGACAGCTGCGGACAAAGCGTGCGGCGCAGGAGCAGCTGCAGGAGGCGCGAAAGTCGCCTCGGAGGGGCCAGGCTCAGCACCAATGGAAGCTTCTGGAAGCGGACGAGCAGCAGTGAGGAGAGGCAAGGGAATTCCATCCTCAGGCAGAGCAGCCAGCGCAGCGTCGTCGACCAAAACATCAGCATAGAAGGGATTGTGCGCCTGCAGCCAAAGAATGGCAGCGTGCACACGCGCGCGGCGAACGACGAATTCAGGAGCATGGCGAAGGCTCGCTGCATCATCAGCCGGAAAGAAGACAGTGACATGCTCGGCAACGGTGGCGAGGGAGCGAGGGAGGAAAGGCACGAGAGTGGCACTGTTTTGCGGAAAGCTAATCACATTGCCCAGTAAAGCTTGTTGACGCGCCTGTGGCGGGCCACGGCATGGCAACGTAATGAGCCGACAAAGGGTGAAGCCGCGGGAAATGAAGAGGATCTCTGCTGGAGTGAGATCACGGAGATCCGAAGGCAATGGCACGTGCACATTGTCATTGGCAAGTGCACGGCTAGGCATCGAGGCGCGTGGGCCTTGCAGGGCTGCCGCGCAAGGAAGACAGAGAGGCACGGAAAGAGGAAGCGTAGAATCATGGCAGGCAGCAATCCAAGCTTCACGAGCAGAGGGGTCAGCGAGGAAGAGGAGCCAGCGGTCGTCGAAGCTGTGTTGAAGAGTTGGCAGGGCAGGGGCCGGGAGGGAGTGGTCAGCGAGGTCAGGGAAGGTGAGCCCAAGAAAGGAGTCGGGCAAGGAAGCCGGCAGGCGAGCACGGTAGCGTTGCACGTAGCCATGGGCAGAGAGAAAGTCATGCAACGCAGGAAGGTCAAAGGCTGGTGTGCGCAGATTGTACGGCAAAGGGGATGGGTCAGAGGGCGTCGTGGCGCAGCATGCGCAAACTTGCAGTGGAGTAGACCAAGCAGCATGAGCAGCAGAACGAAAGCGGGCCAGAATGTGCCGTAGAACGAGAGGGTCCGCGGGGCGTGGGAAGGAATGCCCAAGAGCAGTGCGCAAGAGAGAGGGATACGCAGTGAGAGAGCAATCATGGGTGCGACGCAAGCGGTCTTCGAAGAGTGCCTGGTCGGAGAAAGACCGGCTACAAAAGCGACAGAGCCAGGCTGCAGAGGGCTCCGGTGGAGAGGGCGGAGCCAATGGGCACGAGGAGTCCCCGTCGAAGATGCGCGGCGCAGCCGCAGCAGGAGCAGACGCGTAGGAGTGGGCGGCGGGATCAAAGAGGTGCCCCGATGTGGAGGAAGAAGCATCCCAAGACAGAGAGAAAGCATGCCACGGACCCGAAATGTCAGAGTCGGAAGAGAGAGCTTGCAGCGGAGCCAGAGCCAAAGCAGCATCAAGGGCGCAGGACGGGCGGACGTGGCAGGAGAAGTGTTGGAGGCGGAGGCGAAACAAAGAAGTTGGAGGTGGAAGTTGGGCTTGTGTTTGCAGAGCTTGCCAGAGCACCCGGAAGTCAGGGACAGGGAGAAGACTGTCCCGAACAGGTGGGGAGGCGGCGACAGCTGCGAAGAGCGCGTCGAGGCCGCTGTGAACGAGCGCAGCTGGAAGGAGGTAGAAGTGACGGCGATAGCGTATGGCCGGACATCGAGCGTCGCCGACAAGCGTGACATCCCGCAGGTAAGTGCGCACGGCCACGGTTGTGGCAGCGGGATGGTCGAGCAGAAAGGATTCCAGCAGGACAGTGGCTCGAAGACAAAGCCCGACAGGAACAGAGACCTCCACACAGCGACCCTGGATACGCCGGCGGATGCGAAAGACTGCAGAGAGATCGGGGTGGGAAACGAAGGTGAAATCAGCCTCAAAGGCGTGGCAAATTGCATCCCATTGGCTCGGAGACCAGAGCCGCCGGAGATACGCTCGCTCTGCCTGCAAGGCTGCGTAGCGGGCCTCTGCTGCCTCACGGGCAGCTGCAGGAATGGGAACGGAGCGAAGGCTCTGTCGATAGCGGAGACGGAGTGCCATGGCACGGGCAGAAGATCCAGAGGGTGACGAGGAGTGGAGGACGTGGAATGTATGTGGGTGAAAAACTGTGCAAGATGCTGCTGGCGATAGTATTTCGTGGGGGATAAGGGTGCGAAAAGAACTATGTAGTGCCGTGGGACCGACATGTAAGCAGAAAAACTAAGTACTTCGTGGAACACTGTGGGTGAAATCGCCGAAGGAAGTGTGTCTGGAAGAGATATGTACGGAGGGGAAGTGGGAGATGTTATATGAGGGGCGTGTGGTAGCGTGTGTGTGTGTAGGTGTAGGTGTGTGTGTATGTTGCAGAACACAAGTGCAGAGTTTGTGCAAAAGCAGCTGGGGCCCAGAAAAAAAAACGACAAATGCACACGCATAAAGAAGGATATGCGACGGTACGAACCGAAGTGGAGCGAAAAAAGGAAGTGTCGTGGCTATGGACGTGTATGGAAGCTCAGCTTCAAGCTAGATTTACGTGAAGACATGTTGAAGCTAGGGGCATGGAATTGTCATAACTACAGGTGTCCGGACAGCAAAGGCAAAACAAGGGCAGCACGGTTAGGATACAGCGCGGGCACACTTTTTCGAATCCTGTCGCACAGCGCTGCCGCACGGCGCGTTCATGAGGATGTAGCCGGAGGTTGTGGCCCGATCCGGGCACGTTTGCGTGGCCGGAGATTGGCTAGGCTGGCTGCCCGCACAGAAGTGGAGGGAGGTAGACGAAGCAGCACATCCTGCAAGCCGTGGGACAGCTCGAGCAAACGCCCGGAAAGGTCGGCGGGCGGCAATGGATGAGGAGCAATGGAGGCAGCGGCCAGGTCTTGCAAAGTATTGGCAGTAGTCAGGAGGCGCGCCCGGAGGGCGCGGCGGCAAATGGGGCGACGAGGTGGCTGCGAAGGGAGCGGCTGGGGAGCATCTGCTGGGGCGGAACGGAAAAGAAAGTCGTGGAGGTGTTGCAGTCCAGCCGCAAAGGTGTCGTCAGGGCAGTGAGCAGGCGCGGCAGCGGCAGGACCATGCAATGCCCAGAGCAAGCGGGCCAGAGCTGGAGGAGAAAGATCTGGAAGACTAGCTGGATGGGCGTGGAGAGCCATGGCGCGAACGCGCTGCCACGTGTTGAACGAAATGGGAATGCCCAGGCCCACGAGAAAGGCGTGACACGCGTGGAGGCTGCGGATGTCGGCGTGCTGCGCGGGCAGGTGCAAGGAATGCCGCAGTAGGAGGGGCTGCCAGAGTGCAGGAAAGCTGCGAGGTGACTGACATGCGGCCGCCCAGTCCGAGCCAAAGCGAACCTCCATCGCCGAAGCCCAAGTCTGGGGGTCGAAAGCGGGAACAGCGATGTCAAAGGTGCGACGAAGGACGGCCAACAGATGGGCCCAACTATTGCGCGCGAGCGGTACGTCGACAATCTCCAAGATCTCCTGCAAGATGACCAGGCAGCAAAAAGCTGTACAGCATGCAACAACGCAGTCCACGCCTCGTAGGTCAGGCTGAGAACCGACATGCCCGCCGAGAAATAGCTGCCGGCTAGGGACGCCCGGTGTGGTATATTTGCATCCAAGGAACTGAGCCGGCGGGCACGGTGAGCAGTCAATCACTCAACGGGGTTCAGAGGCCGGGACGGAGACGCGACTTTTCTGCAGACACTGGGTGTATCACAGTGAGAACACAGTGAGCGGCCGCGGTCGCGGCATGGGTGAAAACACGGTCCGAGGCCGGCCGGTCGTAGCCGGCAGGGCAACCTGGCAAACGTGGCAGCAGCAGACGAAAGAAAACATATGTCCGACCGAGCGCACCACACGCGACGCACCATTCGTGAAGCGGTGAGGAACAACGAGAACAACCGTGCGGTGATGAGTCCAAGCGCTATGCATCAAACGGGGGGTTCTGCAAAGGACAGCGGCGCGCTCTACAAGGCAAAGTTTTTGGCCCTAATATACCTGCATCTTCATGGGGCAATTTTTCTGCGCGCGGGAGTTTGGAGGAGCACTTGAACACAAAAGTGTGCATCTCTGTGAGCGTCCTGTCTGGAAACACAGAAGAAGGATCGCGACCAAAGCAGGACAATCTAGCCGTGGAGTCCAGCGCACATAAGGTCCTAGACCTTTGTCACACAAGGTATCATCTTTGTCCAAGTAGCCGTTTTAAAGAATGCATCCAGGACTTAGGCGTTCGTACCCGTGACTTGGGCGTGCTTGCGCGTGACAGAAGCAGTCGGACCCGTTCCCCTCACAGGAGCTCGACCAAAGCAGGACAATCTAGCCGTGGAGTCTCGGAGTCCACCGCGCATACTGTCCGTGACCTTTGTCGCACAAGTTATCAGCTTTGTCGAAGTCGCCGTTCTTGAACCAAAACGAAACATGAGTCACTAGTTTGACATGTGTTTCATGTTCTGTCCTGAAAGGCCACATCGTGTGTCCCTCGGAAGCCTCCGCGACCTATCGTGCCTGCTGCGGGTCATCGTCGACGAGAACCTGAAAGCACAAGGTGGGGCAGTGGAGAGGAATCCCTTGTTTGAAGACACACATAAACAACGCCTCTTCGAACTCAACCGGCTGCACTGCCTGCACGGAAGCGTTCTTGTCCAAAAGGGAGCGACGGGTGCGCCGAACGGAAGTTGGGCGGAAAATCTTGCCCAAGGAAGATCTAGAGGTAGGACCCGCGACCCGTCGTGCCTGCTGCGGGTCTTCGTCGACGAGAACCTAATAAGGCAGTGGAAAGGAAACCCATAGAAACCCTAGTTAGAGAACATACAATGGAACGCCTCTTCCAACTCAACGGGTTGCACCGCCTGCACGGTCAAAGCAATGGATACTCACACTCGTCTGTCGAAAAGAAACAAAACACGAGGACCAGGTGGAACTAAGCATCATCTATGCAAAAGACCCAAGACAGAAGTGACCCCCGGTGAAACCCTGTAGACAGGCTGCGAGTGGAAACCGTGGCAAGGCGCGTGAAGATGGACACAAACAGGAGCTTCGAAATTTGTTGCAAGGTGCCTGCCAGGCATTTGGAGCATCACTTTGCATCTCCATAGCCTCGCGCAGAGATCGAAGCCCCTGTGGGTAGACGTCTCGGGTTTATTCCGGGGTGTGCCCAGTTTAACGTCATGGAAAGGTCTCTTTTGTATCACCCACTGAAGAAGGACTGGAAGATCTATGGAAAAAGGCCAGCCGTATAGGCCAGGAAAGCTCCGGAATGCAAAGAGGTTGCAGCAGGTTTACTGACCTCGTGCCTGATTGCTGGTGGAGTCTAACCCATCGCCGTCCTCCAGGCTACCGTCCACCGACCCCAGTGAGTGGCCTTGCCGGCGGCCGTGACCTTCTCCTCGGATGCCGCCCTGAACGACGGCACAGGACAGGAGAAGCCACGTTCAGAACAAGGCCCACACAAAAAAAAAACGGCCCTGCACACCTTTTCGGCCCAAGCGCACATATC